CTATTTCAGCTACTATATAGCCGTTTGATGCTAATTTAAGCTTTTTCAGCCATTTCCACATTTTTTGTGCTCATTTCAACTTTTTTTCAGCCTAATTCAGCAAAAATTTGCTTCTTGTAATTTCAGCTTTTTTTAGCCTTTTTTTTGCTACTTTTCAGCTGTTTTTTTTTGTTTGTTTGTTTTTTACTAATTACATCTTTTTTCAAACAATTTACCTTTTTTTGCGCTCATTTCTGCTTCTTTCAGCCTAATTGGGCAAACATGTTCTTTTTGCTTTTTTCTGCTACTTTAAGCTTGTTCAAACTTTTTTAGCTAATTTCAGCTGTTTTCAGATAAATTCACGGTTTTTGTGGTAACTTCTGCTACTTTCTTCTTCATTCTACTAATTTCAGCTTGTCAGAATCAGAATCAGAAGTTACACTCCTTTCAGCTTTTTTCTGCTATTTCAGCTACATTTAATTGTTTTGTGCTAAATTTAGCTTTTTCAGCTAATTCCACATGTTTTTAGCTCATTTCAGGTCATTTCACTTTCTTCTGGTAGTTTAAGCTTCTTTCTGCCTTTTCAGCTACTTTGCAGCTTTTTTTTCCTTTTTTTTTTTTTTGCCAATTTCAGCTTTTTACCTAATTCCTAATTTTTGTGCTAATTTCTACTTTAACCTAATTCAGCAAATATGTGTTCTTTCTACTTTCTTCTTCTAACTTGGGCTTGTTCTTCCATTCAGCTTCATTTCAGAATGTTTTAGCTACTCTCAGCTTTTTTTATCAGCAAGTTCTTCAGCAATAAGCATTCACACTGCATTTTTGCAAGAAATTCAATTTCTTTAGGTTTTTTTTTTCCACTCAGAAAGTTTAAAGACAAACAAAAGGGTTTGAAAAGATTCTGCCAAAGATCTTTGGCACTAATGACTTACCCAGCATGCAAGAAGAGAGAGAGCCAGAGCCTGTAAAACTGATCTGGAATCGCAGGGTTGAGGAAAGGCAACAGTCCACACACATCATCCATGCAGGGCACCTGAGAAAAGACTAAACTTGTGAACATGTAGCAACGTAGACATGGAACGTGCTATTTGAACAATCAAAAATCTGATTTCTGCAAAGAAAAACTGGATTAATCGGTTACGTTTATTTCATCATTAAAATATGAACCGCTGAGGGAGCTGCTTACTTGAGAGCAAAGAGTTGCCTCCTCGTGAAAGTAGCCCTTCATGAAGTCACAATATTCCCTGGATGTGATTTCACACCTTGAAAGAATTACACAGTTGGTTAGTAAAAACTGTTCACTTATCTCGTCTGCGATCAGTTCACTTTGAATAGTTCTGTAAAGCTGAAGAAGGTTCCTGACCTCCCTTTGGTTCCGATGCAGCAGGGTCGGCCTGTGATGGTGCAGTCTATGTGAGGCAGGTTGGTGTGGTTCCCTGTGTTGTACCTGGTACAAATCTGAAAAACAAAAAGCACTTAATATTCCAAACCTAATGTATGATTATCATTTTTAACAACTAACCTGTAGGTGCAAATAAACAAACAGAAAAATACTCTTTATGCTCAATTTGAGATAAACTATGACACATTTTCCAATTCGGATCGTCAGATTATAAAAATTTTAGGTTAATAGTTGTGCAATAATGCTCATGAGGGCTAATTAGACTATTTGCAATCAAAGTAAACAAAATTTAACCTATTATTATTATTATTATTATTTGTATTTACTATTGTATGGTAAGTCCTTCCCAACAGAAAGAGAACTTTCTGAACAGTAATAAATGTATTTTCTGTGCATTTACTGCTGTTCTTTATTTAAACTACAAAGTGCTGTACTGAATACAATCAAACCATAAGTGAAATATTTTTATTTTTACTTTCTAGCAGCCTGATAAATCTTTTCCGAACTCTAATTTTGTTCTTCGTTTCCAAACGATTCACAAGATCATAATTACCGTATTTTTCACTGTATAAGTCACACCTTTTTGCATACATTTGCAAGTCCTGTGACTTATACACCGAAGCGACTAATATACGTTTTATCCCCATATTTATAATCCAATTTTTGGCTGAGATCTGACGATTTTATTCATTCTGACATGGAAAATATTGAACACTACCATTTTTACCTGCTAGATAGTGCTCGACTAATATGGCAAGCCAAGTGTCTCATTAATAGGTAAAAGTGGCTATTAGTGAGACACTTTGCTTGCCATACCAAGCCACCTTCGTCTCGCTCCGCAACTCCTGGAGCAAACGTCAAATCAGATGCATTTGGCTGCGCCATCCAGGCAAAATGCAGCTGATTAGACCATTAAAGTGCATTTATTAAGGAAAAGTTCAACTGAGACACACCTTTACTATAGTGTCAAGCAAACAAATAAATGTTTTTAGGTGTTTATCTTGTTCAATTTCGAAGAAATGCACAGCAAGTCCTCCCTCTGTGTGCTCCAGCAGCCACAAATCGATTTTGAAATGCAGCTGATTTGACCAATATAGAGCATTTAATAAGGAAAAGTTAGACTGAGACACACCTTTGCTATAATGTCGAGCAAAGAAATAATTGTTTTTAAGTGTTAATCTTGTTAAATTATTGTTAAAGTCCTCCTGCGCACACTTCTGCGGCCGCCATTCAGCAGCCAATCAATTTTTGGCACATTTGGCCCACATTACCGGGTGATCAGCGCCGCATTGATGCATAACAAATGCTATGCATCAGCAGTGACACAATAGATGCAATTTATATGGCAAAGTGACTTATTTAAGTTTTTTCCACTTTATTAGACATTTTTGGACTGATGCGACTTATACGGCGGCAAGTACTGTACTCACCGGCCACTTTGTGATGTCATCAGGCCATTCATGAGGCGACACTGAAGCAGGCTCCAGACATATCCTGAAAGCAAGACGTATAGAAGTTAAATCATAAAGTTTAACTAATGTACTGCAATAGTAATGCTGTAAAACTTAATTGTGGGTCTTACCTGGGATCCTGATGACACACTGAGCCATACTGTCTGTCTTTACCATTTAACTTGGGAGTGCTGGGATCCCTGGGCCACTTCACCCACACAGCTAAAGTACTCTACACAAACACAAACATCAAAGATCAGAAATGCCCACAGCTTCTTCTTGGAGATGAATAATGAGGGTTCAGTGACATGAACTACAGACCGAGCATTCCTTCTCTGATGTTTGGACACAGCCAGAACGATCGTTCCGAACACAGCAAGCCGAGTTGCGTTCAATAGCTCTCTTTTCCCTGATAAGATCATGCACCTGCCCATCTTGTCGCATGCATGGAGAATATTTGGCCCCTAAATGGATCAGGGCTTCCTAAAAACATTTAGATAGAATGGCGGATAAGAAAAATAAAACTGAGCCTTTACATATGCTTCAACTATTCGCAAACAAAGAGTTGAATGGGTACTTACTGAACTAGGCCCGATCCAAAAGTTCTCCTGCTGTACAAACTTAACATTTTCATAGACACCTTTGTTTCTTAAAACCTATACACAAAATAAAATGAAAAGCACAAATCTGTATTAAAAACACTTGTAGGTGAAGTGAAATTATGACAAGCTGTGAATAAAAATGTTCGTCGCTCACAGAATCAACAGTTTCATGTTGAGAAAAGCCAACTGGAGCTATTCCATAGATGCACACAGCCAGTATAGTGATGAGTAAATGGACAAAGGTGATCCAGTATGTAAAAAACGGCCTAAAAGAGGCAAACAAAACACATTTTTAAATGACTTGCACCCCATTATTTACTGGAATAGACTTGAGGGGAGTTGCAGTACCTGTGGTCATCCATATCCTCAATCTGCCTCTTGACGTAACTGTCTATTCGCTTCCGGTAAGTGCGATTTGTGAGCTTTCCTACCATGCCCAACCCGTAAGGCCTCTTCTCACGAGCAAAAAGCTTCTTGACGGGTACAACAATGCGCTGTCCACGCCGCTGTCCGTGAACACTCACCACCTCCTGACGCAAGGGCACCTTTGGTGGTGCTGGGGTTCCTTCTTTGGCTTTACGCCATCCTCTTTCTAGGGGTCTATATAACAGGCAACCAAAGAAAAAGATCGTTTTTAAAAAATGGCTGAGTGTAAGGAATACAAAGAAAGCTTTTTAAAGTTTTTTTAATTCATCAAGTGAGTTGTTATATGGTACTTCAGAGCTTTTGTATTTCAACTTTAATTTCACCAGATAATGAGACAATTTTCAACTTGACAAGAAATGTTTTGATGTGAAACTCTCAGATCTGGTATCACAGCTCCATTAACAATTTGCCTACAGTAACTCACAGCATGAGGTGACTTCTCTCCAGCTCAGTCTTATCTAAGGCGCTGCCCGTCAGCTCTTTTTCATCTTTCTTGGAGCTGGAGTCTGTCTCTTTGATGGCCATCTCAGATGGCGACTCAAACACCTCATCGACATATGTAGACAATTCCTCTTGCAGCAGGATATCCTAAAACACAAAAAGGGAAAGAGAGCTGCAAGCATGATTAATCTGTTGGATTTTTAAAATTAGATTCATTCACTGATTATCAGTGGCAGCTGGTCAATAGGGGGCAGTAGGGCGCCGCCCCACCACTCAAACCACTCACCATATTACCTTGAAGACAGAAAAAGTAAATAAAATGAAATAATAAAATAAAAATATTTTGAAATATAGAGTATATATTTTTAGCTGTGTAAGATAAATATTTTATAGTTAATGATGAGTTTAAGTTGTTTCTTTCAAAAACGTTGTCTCTGATGACGTATTCCCACTTTGGGGGCGAAAGAAGCTTTGCCCATAGACTCTCGTTAAAAATTATACATGCACAGTTAGCTCCTCTTCATGACAAGAGATGGGAAAATTCTGGGCGCACCACTCCTGTGCCCAGAATATGGGCGCACAGAACAGATCGTGTTTTTGGTACCGGAACAGATTTTTTTTTTTCTAGTCCCGGAACAGATTGTGCAGTGACACAACCAGACTATGTTGCAGGTAGGCTTTAAGGCATTGAAAGTCCTTTATCTAATGCCTATGTTGCTATTTCTGGCTGATATGCCTCTTAACTTTTAGATGTTTCTAACAAAACTGTCTTTTCCGGTCTTACTCTGGCAAAGAAAGACGTGTCCAGTTCATCGGGAAAGTCAACCATGTCTTCCTCCATGAAGCTGGCAGGAGTGAAGCTTCGCCTCTGAGCCTGTTTTAGAGTGCTCTCTCGGAATGAGCGACCCTGAAAGATATAAAACAAGCATGTGCACACAAATACAAAGTTGTTAAAAAATGGGGGAAAAAAAATCAAATTGATAATGAGACCTAGTTGATCTTGTTTAATTGTATCCGCTCATTTACCTTGACTAACGCAGCGGCAGCCCTGAAGCTCATCTTTGCCACCGATTCTCTCTTACGCCGGCGAGGCAGTCGGTTGAGACCTGAGCGGGAGCTGGTGAAGGAGCAAAGTGATGCAGCTCCAGGAGTGATGGGGGTCTGAGGCACGCTGTAACCGTCTACTTCCTCCACCATTCGAAAGGCTCTTCCACGCGCCAACGGGTCCACAATCTGGAACGCAAAACCAGCTTTTATTACAAACTGACAGAAATAATTTACTTTAGATATTCAACAAAGAGCATGATGTTGATGTGTTCAAAACATCAGGTTTAGTCATAGTAAAATACTCTGTTTTAAGTAAAAATACAAGAATTTAACATTTCTTTAGTAATGCAAACCCTCTCAATTTACCTTTTGCATGCCATGTTGTGAAGAGGGCACATAGAGGGGTGGCGGGGTCTCAGTGCTGGTCAGGGAGATGTTGTCCTGGCTTGGCAGATCCATTTCTCGGATCACCTGTGGTTTCAGTTTCCCGTAGCGCAGGCTGCAGTGTCGCAAGCTTTTTCTCTGCCATTTCTGGGTGGTGTCGCCATCTTTACTAACCCCAAACCAGTCAGCTGTTCCCCTAACAGCCCAAACACAAACTTTAATTTATTTGCAAAAATGGTGCATGTGCACCTTACAAGCTCTTTTACAGCCAAACACTGACAATTGTCTAAAGAAGCCAATATATCCTAAGGAAACAGTGTAGATCCCGGTGATCGCCCAACCATTAAAAAAGCGATAAATATGTATATCTTGAG